GGACCTTTGTTGGCAAAGTAATGTCTCTGCTTTTTAATATGCTATCTAGGTTGGTNTGAGCATTACTTTACTAGCATGTGAGATGAGTGCAATTGTGCAGTAGTTTGAGCAATCTTTGGCATTGCCTTTCTTTGGGATTGGAATGAAACTGACCTTTACCAGTCCTGTGGCCACTGCTGAGTTTTCCAAATTTGCTGGCATATTGAGTGCAGCACCTTCAGAGCATCATCTTTTAGAATTTGAAATAGCTCAACTGGAATTCCATCACCTCCACTAGCTTTGTTTGTAGTGATGCTTCCTAAGGCCCACTTGACTTCACATTCCAGGATGTCTGGCTCTAGGTGAGTGATCACATCATCGTGGTTATCTGGGTCATGAACATCTTTTTTGTACAGTTCTTCTGTGTATTCTTGCCACCTCTTCTTAATCTTCTGCTTCTGTTAGGTCGATATCACTTCTGTCCTTTATTGTGCCCATCTTTGCCTGAAATCTTCCCTTGGTATCTCTAATTTTCTTGAAGAGATCTCTAGTCTTTCCCATTCTACTGTTTTCCTCTATTTCTTTGCATTGATCACTGAGTAAGGCTTTCTTATCTCTCCTGGCTATTCTTTGGAACTCTACATTCAAATGGGTATATCTTTCCTTTTCTCCTTTGCTTTAGATTACTAGAATTTTATGGTCAATTTCACATCAAGTTATGTTATGCAGAGGATTAAATGTCTTTTGATATTGCTTACCTGAGTCTTCAATTTCCTTATAATAACTAATTCTAAAGGACAATAGACTTCCTAAGTCAGGGTGAGAAAATGATAGACCAAATATTAAAGAGGAATAAGAAAACCAGCATTTGGTTCTAGTTCTTAGAGAAAGGTGTCCGACTTCTGATAAGAAAATAAATATTTTTGAACCTCAGTTTTCTTATCTGTAAATAATAGTAGACTCTGGCTAATATCCAAGACTCTGAGGATGAAATGAGATAGGATCAACTGCTCGACAACTATAATGCAACCTATATGGGCAAAATAGTATTATAATTAATGCAGAAAAGTCTCTTAAGTTTGCCAGCCAAAACAATTCATTTTCTGGCTGGGTTGTTTGCATCTGAGTGATACCTTGTTAAAGCAAAGTAAAACCAGAAGTGTTTCTGGGACTGGCTTCTGAAACCCTTGGCGTCTTCAAATTAGTCCCTTCCCTGTTGCCAGCCAGTGTGAAGATTCCAGAGTCCTGCTGTTACTGGATTGGAAGAACTGGTCCTGGAGAGAGCTGCCCAGGAACACCGACCACTGCCCAGACTGTCATAAGACTGCAGTTACATCCACATGGACTTCCACAAACAAGAAACAAACATCTTGGTACATATATACAGTGAAATGTTACTCTGCCATAAAAAAGAACAAAACAATGCCACTTGCAGCCCCACGGCTGGACCTGGAGATTATTATGCTGACTCAAGTAAGTCAGATGGGGGTTTGGTTTTAGTTGCTATCCAAGTCTTGTGATCCCATAGACTGTAGCCCACCAGACTCCTCTGTCCACGGGATTTCCCAGGCAAAAATACTAAAGTAGGGTACCATTCCCTCCTCTAGGGAATCTTCCTGACTCCGGGAGCAAAACCAAGTCTCCTGCATTGCAGGCAGATTCTTTACCACTGAGCCACCAGGGAAACCTGAAGTAAGTCAGGAGAGGAAGACAAATATCATATGGTATCACTTACATATGGAATCTAAAAAAAATGGTGCAAGTGAACTTATTTACCAAACAAACAAACTCACAGACAGAGAAAACAATCTTATGGTTACGAGGGGAGAATAGGGGGAGGGTTAAATTGGGAGATTAAGATTGACAAATGCACATATATAAAATAGATAAACAGCAAGGGCCTACTGTGTAGCACAGGGAACTCTACTCAATATTCCATGATGACCTATATGGGGAAAGAATCTTAAAAAGAATGCATATATGTACATGTACAACTGATTCACTTCGCTGCACAGGGGAAACTAACACACAATTGTACTGAGTTGGCCAAAAAGTTCGTTCATGTTTTCCATTCGATATGGAAAATCCAGACAAACTTCTTGGCTAACCCAATAAAACAAATACGCTCCAATAAAAATTTTAAAAGCTACAGACTCCAGAAAGAAAGAGAAATATCTATTGCATTTAGCCCCTGAGCTTTTGCACTGTTCAACACTTGGTTCATCCTGACTCACACAAGCAATATGAATTCTGTATCCCACAAAAATTATGCGATCAAAACACCTTTAATTTCCTTTTTCCAAGAATAAAAAATAACTGCAAGTAGCTGGACTTTATATTTCACATATATGGTAGTTTTTAAAGGCCATAAGAAGTCATATTGATAAAAGTGGAATTTCTAATGGATACAGTTCATTTTGATTTGAAGAGGTGTTGGACCAAAGGAAAGTCCATTTACTTTACTGTTTCTAAATCTCTCTTCTTTTATGACTTTTCCCAATGTAGGAGCTGAAAATGCATTTTTTTACCTTTATGGTTCAAAGTCTTAGAAGTTTAAACCACTTGGTAGATTCAGTCAATGCTTTTGATACTGACACAATCTTACTTTGCAATTTAGAAACAATTTGAGTGATCAAAGATTAGTTGCTTGAGGAACTGGGTAGTTGATTGATATACTGGTTAGTTGGATTCAGATTGGGTTAGTGATCATCCACAAATCCAATCCATTTAGTTTTTATGACTAGAAATAAAGAAAGCTTTTTTGGTAGAGCACCCTGCCTGTCCAGAGGGATATGTGTGTGTCTTGTGAAATGAAGAATTAATGGAATCCACTTCCAGATTCCATTTCCATCAGGATAAGAGCATGTGACCTTGGTGTGACTCACAGTTGATCCCAAACGGCACCTCTAAAAATACCAGTTATCAACTGTCTGCAGTAACAAAGAGCATATTGTGAGAAATGCGTTGAAAGAGCTTAGAGTGACAAATACAAAAGCATATAAAAATGCAGGTTTTAAAAAAATTTCAAGCAGGACTTTGAAAAGAAAGGGAAAACATATGTACCAGAAATCTCCCCATTCAATTAAACATTTCATTATTAATGGCAAGCCCATGCTGGTGGAATGAGAATGGGTATCATTTGAGTAGGAAAGTTCACAGCCATTTTGAATGTCCAATTTCCCTTTCGGGATAAAGGCAGGCATTAAGATCCTGGATCCTTACTGAGCATCCTGGTTGAAGAGGGGAACCTGCACCAGGTTACGCCAATAATTGCCAGCCCCCCAGGATCCCAGCTCAGAAATTTTTGTGTGTTCTCAGGAGACAAAAATGACTGATCATCAAAGGCAGAGGAGCACAGCAGGACTGTCATAAGCCTGAAGTTACAACTTAGACATGCAATAGAAAATATCATCGCTACCTCTCCAGTGCATTGCCTGTAGTAATTAAAAACTTGATCCCTGCTGTTTTATCATCTCATTAGCAATGGGGGCACAAGACTTTTATCCTTGTTTGTCAGGAATCAAACATACCAGAGGAACTCTGATTATAAATTGATGAAAGTAAAGTTAAACTTTTAAATAAGAGAAGTGACTGTTCACAATGTTTTTTTAAAGCTGATTAAAGAGATCCTCTTCTTTTTTTTTTTTTTCTATAAAAATAATACCTCTGTCCAGCCTCGAACGGTAGAGGTCATCTCTAGGATGGTTCCATCCTATGCATTTTGTAAAGGGGGTTCGCTTTGTGAGCAGTTCTGATTTAAAATAAATATCAGTCCTGCAAAACTTCCGAAAGCATGGATACAAAGGATGTCCTCCTTTTCAAGGCTTTTGATGAAGTTGAAACACCTTCTACCCTGTCGGTGATGTGTGTTCTAAGGTCTTTTATGGAGGGTGGTGAGCCTCACCGTTTAAAAAGCCAGGCAAGCTTTCTATTTATTTTAATAACTCGTCTTTATAAATGAGGACAGGTGAAGGAACACGGGCTTCGCTGCAGCAGCTAATTTCTCGAACCTTTGTTTCCAAAATAGAAAATTTCCTTTAGAACTCACACTGTTTCCTTGGGGTCCAAAGGATTCTGGCAACTGTAACCTCTTCTGTGGCACTCAGACCATTTCTAATCAATGCTCCAGAGCAGATGGGGGTTTCAGATTTGAAGAAAGAACAGTTTATGGGACATTTTATTTTATTTCATACATCTCCCACTCACAATGAATTACTCATCTGTGCATTCAAACTACACATACTGACAGCTGTGCTGGGGATCCCAAAACAAAATTAAGCTCCTTTTTGCAGTGAGTTTTAAACTTTCTCCTCTCCACACTCTACACTCATCTTTGTAAATGAGGCCAGGTGAAGGAACTGGGGCTTCGCTGAGGCAGCTAATTCCTCCAACCTTTGTTTCCAAAACTGTGGCTAACTTGTTTGAGGAACAATAGTCCAAATAGCTTCAGAAGTAAAATAATAATAATAAAAGCAGTATATTCTTAACTTCAAGACTCCTGCCGTTTGGGGTCAGACCATTCTTTGCTGGGCACTGATCTGAGCATCTTAGGGTGTTAAGCAGTATCCTGGTTCCTCATCCATCAGATGTCATGGCTGCCCACCTCCTGCTGTGACAATGAAGAGTTCCACCCACTGCCAAAGGTCACTGTGAGGCAGAGCCACCCTGGGTGAGAACACTGGGACATGTACATGTAGTGTATTGCATTTCTCTCTGTCTGCCCATCTGTCTGTCCATCTGTCTGTCTCTTTCTCTCTCACACAAACATACAAAATCATGAATACAGGGTCCATCCTGAAAAGGGACACAAAAGTCTACCTGGTAATAAGTAGTTTCCTTTCCTAGGTGGGGGGTGGGGGGTGCAACAGGGAAGAAGGTCTGGTCTGTTTTCCCCTGCACACTCTTCAATACCTTTAAGGAAAATATTTTTTTATTTAATTTGGCTGTGTTGGGTCATAGCTGTGATATGTGAACTCTTTAGTTGTGGCATGTAAACCCTTAGCTATGCTTGTGTGATCTAGTTCCCTGACTAGGGATCGAACCCAGGTCCTCTGCATTGGGAATACAGCGTCTTAGCCACTGGACCACCAGGGAAGTCCCCACCCTACAATATCTTTTAAATCATATGCCTTGTGTGTACTTTACCTTTTGTAATGCAGCAAACCAACGAACAAATGAAGGAATGAATAATTCAAGCCAGGAGATAAATAAGTCAAGAACGAAATTAATAAATCAATAAACAAGTACATGAATGGATAAGTTATGATATTATGCTGAGGCCCCCTAAATGTTCTATAAACAGACTAATCAATTAACTAACTCTGATGGTGTGAAGCTTCATTCACTCAGTTTTGTCCTACACTTCACAATCCCACGGACTATAGCCTGTCAGGGTCCTCTGTCTGTGGAATTCACCAGGCAAGAATACTGGAGTGGGTTGCCATTCCCTTCCCCAAGGGATCTTCCTCACCCAGGCACTGAACCTGGGTCTCCTACATTGCAACAGATTCTTTACCATGAGCCATCAGGATGCAAACATAGCATTAATCAAAATTATTCCAGTAAAAGCAAGAGTATACTTAAAGCAAGTGACTGAGGGAGGTGTTTCTGATTTTATTCTGTCATTATAAGCAGCATCAATCAAGTATATGTACTTTTTTTCCCAGTTGGCAAATGAAAATAGTCTATTTTTCCCTATGTATACTTTATTTTTTAAAATTATTTATTTATTTGCCTGGGCCAGGTCTTAGTTGCACCATGTAATATCTAGTTCCCCAAACAGGGATTGAGCATAGGCCCCTTGCACTGGGAGTGTGGAGTCTTAGCCGCTGGACCACCAGCTAAGTCCTCCTGTATGTACATTTGTTTTCTGTCTGCTTAGGTGTATCCTACTCTTTGCAACCCCATGGACTATAGCCTGCCAGGATCCCCTGTCCATGGAATTTTCCAGCCAAGAATACTGGAGTGGGTTGCCATTTCCTACTTGAGGGGACCTTCCTGACCCAGGGATTGAACCCGCGTCTCCTGCATCTCCTGCATTGGCAGGCAGATTCTTTACCCCTGTGACACCCGGGAAGCATCATTTACTTCAATACCTTTAAAATACCCTGTGCAGTCATCTCCACTTCCAAGCAAACGAATAAATGAATAGCTCAAGCCAATGATTCATAAAGGACGAACCCATTTTACAGGGAAAGCAAGAAGGAGGAGATTTTTTGAAAGAGCTGACTTTGTGCTCATTTACTAGGTTTGAGGTGATTATGCCAGCATTTGTTCTGTCTTGGGGCAGCTGCCTCTGGCGGATGGTGTGGGCAGGGTCCTGGCTGCCCAGTAAGCAGCATCGAGGTGCCTGGTCTCTTTTGAAGGATGTTACTATTCCTGTTCCTTGTACCAGTCTGAGAAGCTGTACAAAACCATCCTTGTGGTAATGGGTAGGTCTAGTTTGGGATAAGCTGCAGTGTTATTACAAGGATATAAAGTTGTACAACATGTAACTGGGAGTCAGCCCGGGGTTGTACCAACAGCCGTGAAACTTGGCTCCATCACTGCCGGTAAAGTTGGGCGAACTTGGCAAGAAGCACATTTCCCAGGGTCACGCTGACTCATCTGGAGCAAAGAGACTTGTCTAGATGATTCCTGTTGAGCCATCCAAGGTCCACGGCCAGGCAGATCTTGAGGATTTCTGTAAGTGGGGGAAAACAGATTCTTCTTTTTGAAGTTAAATTGGAAAGTAGCTTATTCAACTGATAACAGTACTTAAACTTCATGATTATGTGGAAAATACATTCTCCTGCAGAAAATACCTTTTTCAATTTTGTCAGACCCTCTCCCAAAGTATAGCCTCACCCCTTGATGATTTACAGATATTTAATGTGATTATTCAAGGAGGGCATGGCAACCCACTCCAGTGGTCCTGCCTGGAGAATCCCATGGACAGAGGAGGCTGGCAGGCTATGGTACATGGGGTCGCAAAGAGCTCGATATGACTGAGCAACTAAACACAATGTGATTATTCACATCAAATTCATGCATAACATGAAGTTAGAAAACAGCAAATATTATAAATAGCAGAATCAAGGATCTAGATATTCTGAGAGTTTAGAAAACTTAACAGAGGAAATTATCATCAGTTCTGCTGTAATGTATCATATGCCTGCCTAGAAACCACAGTGCTATGAAAACTCAGATAATATAAATCACACGGTTTATGAGAAAAATAGGGTTGGAACATAACACTCAAAACGTTCATCAGGAATGCTTTGTAAAAAAAGATATCAATAGAAACAGAATAAAAATGTCAGCATGGCTTTACATATGTTAAATATTTACAAAAATACATTAATACTACAATGACTATGGCACTTTACCTGATTAAAGACCTGACCTTTGCCTGTGGCCTCAGAAGCATTGTAGCTGATGAGTTATCATGAGGTGGTGAAAATGTTTCCCGAAATTGAAGGAAATGATGTCAGCCCATATCTCAGGTCTTTCTCATGAAACCTGTGTGAACTGGGTCAGTGTTTAA